TGAGACAAAACACTAAATTTTCAATTTAATTCGTGAGTTCAGCTCAAATAACTTAAAATCATAAATTCTCCTATATGTCGAATAAAGAGAAATCAGTGAGGGAATGAGAAAATTTAGATGAATTTACAAATTTTATCAATGATGTTTTTTTGGATGGAAGAGAGAAAAAATATATATGTTAATAATTAGGGACCAACATAAAAATTTAATTTTTCTTAGTAATAAATTCAAAAATGTTAATATTGCCCATTGGGCATTAGTCTAAGTAGATGAAAAGTATTGCTTTCAGCGGTAACATATACTTCGGCGACCAGGACTATGTGGTCTAATGGTACCCGGATTGGACTTCCATTTGGAAGGTTGTAAGTTTGAGCCTCAGTGGAGACGTTATTAGCTGAAAGTATATGAACAGATACTACAATCTAATAGAGCTAATAGCATTCAAAAAATAATAATAATAATACTATTTACCGCTTTAAAAAAAAAAAAAAAGAGTTGTTATACCATGGACCAGGTCCACCTTAAACGGCGTCGTTTTCACGGAAAACGACGCCGTTTTAACTAAAAAAAAAAAAATTGTTCGAAACGGCGTTAACGGCATATTCGTTATGAAATTATGAATATACAGTTATGACATTATGAATGTACAGTTATAGAATTATGAATGTATAGTTATGGAATTATGAACATAGAGCTTCGAAAATTATGAATGTTCGGTATGGAATTATGAATATACAGTATGGAATTATGAATGTACAGTTATGGAATTATGAATGTACAGTTATGAAATTATGAACATAGAACTCTGACATTATGAACTTACAATTATGAACATAGAGCTTCGAAAATTATGAATTTACAGTTATTGAATTATGAATGTACAGTTACGGAATTATGAATGTACAGTTATGGAATTATGAATGTACAGTTATGAAATTATAAACACAAAGCTGTGAATATATGCTCCTATAACGAAGTGGTCTGAAATTAATTTTTTTTTTTTTTTAAAAAAAAAAAGGGAAGATAACGGTGCCTGACGGCACCGTTATCCGTGGCCATGAAGCACGCTGGGCACGAGCCCACAGCATAATTATCCCCACCTTACAAGGTGGATCCTGGTCCTATAAATTGTGTTTATTAGTCAAAACACAAAGGGAATTTGTGAATACAATACATGATCATTAAATCCTACTCTGTTAATATTGTGTGACTGCAATATTTGAAAGAAACTTGTGAATACAAAACAAGGTAAGCAATTATATATATGTTAACATTGTGTCTTCGTAGTATACAAATTTTAAATTTTTAAAAAGTAAATTATGAAAATTTAATATGTAAATTGTCATTTGAACTCGGGTCCACATAATAATTTGCGGGACGTTATGCCATGGAACCGTGTTCACCATTCATGGTGAACACGGTTCCAACGGTGTTAGTAGACCGTTATCTTTTTTTTTTTTTTTTTTTTTTTTTTTAATTGTGTGACTTTTCTTCTTTATTTTCACATTTTGCGGTTTCACTTTAATTTGAGGTGAACAAAGATTTCGGACATTCATAAATTATGAATTCATGCATGCACATTCACTTTGGAACCATGCCTACACATTCCCGTCCGAAATCACGGACATTCATAAATTATGAATCCATGCCTGCACATTCACTTTGGAACCATGCCTACACATTCACTTTGGAACCATGAGATTATGAATTTTCTGTTATGAGATTATGAATTTTCAGTTATGAGATTATGAATTTTCTGTTATGCGATTATGAATTTTCTGTTATGAGATTATGAATTTTCATTACATTCATAATTTCGGACATTCATAAATTATGAATTCATGCCTGCAAATTCACTTTGGAACCATGCCTACATATTCCCGTCCGAAATCACGGACATTCATAAATTATGAATCCATGCCTGCACATTCACTTTGGAACCATGCCCACACATTCACTTTGGAACCATGAGATTATGAATTTTCTGTTATAAGATTATGAATATTCTGTTATGAGATTATGAATTTTCTGTTATGAGATTATGAATTTTCTGTTATGCGATTATGAATTTTCATAAAATTCATAATCTCATAACAGAAAATTCATAATTTGATCAAACGCGCGCTGTTAACTTCACATCCGCGATTTATTTTTTATTTATTTTTTTTTTTTTTGCCTAAAAACGATGTCGTTTTGCCTTGTGTTCACCATTCTCGGTGAACACGATTCCATGGCATAATTTGCGATAAAAAAAAATTGCCAAAATGGGCTTGTTCACGAGCTTAGACTATTGGGCCTATAGTTTCTTTCAGTCTGCTATATCTTTGAAAAAAAAGAAAAAAAAAAAGTGCGCCATTGCAAAATTTGAGCTTCCAGGATGATGCTATGCATCTAGGATCGTTCATTTCCAGAAAATTTTGCACTTTGAAGCAAACCCATTCTTCATCACACCTCAACTTGAATATCAAAGCTTTGGTCCAGAAAGGTCAGCATTTTGAAGCTCTGCAATGCTACTCCAAAGAACCTCTCAAAACTTTCAAACTCACCTTCCCAGCTCTCCTCAAAGCCTGCGCGTCTCTGCAGAGCCTGAGCATCGGAAGGACCATCCACGCCACGATAATTGTGATGGGTATGCAGTGCGACCCTTACATGGCCACCTCGCTTATCAACATGTATGTGAAATGCGGGTCAATCTGCAATGCAATACAGGTGTTCGACCATATTCCCAAGTCGGAAGACGTGACTGTGTGGAACGCTATGATTGATGGGTATTTCAAGAACGGGTTTCGCAAGGATTGCGTGGCTCAGTTTCGCGAAATGCAGGCGTTGCGGGTGAAGCCCGATGGGTATACTCTTAGCATTCTTCTTGGAGTGTTCTCTGGGGTTTCAACGGGGAAGGAAATTCACGGCTATGTGATTCGAAACTCGTTCGAGGGCGACCCTTTTATCGTGACGGCTCTGGTTGATATGTACACAAAATGTGGCAGGGCAATGGATGCCTGGAACGTGTTTGAGAGCCAGGGAGACAAGAGCAATGTTGTTATATGGAATGCAATGATGAGTGGGTTTTGTGAAAATGGGTTGTGGAATAGGAGCTTGGAGTTATATTCATTATTAAGAGAAAGGAATTATGAAATCATGTCAAGCACTTGCTGCAGTGTATTGACTGCCTGTTCTGAGGGTGAAGATCTTGAGTTTGGCAGGCAGGTCCATTGTGATGTTGTTAGGATGGGGTTTGGGTCTGATCAGTATGTTCATACCTCTCTATTAACCATGTATGCAAAGTGTGGACTGATAGAGGATGCAGAGAAAGTTTTTGGTTCTGTATTAGGGAAGGGGGTCGAAACGTGGAATGCTATGGTCTCTGCTTATGTAGGTAATGGCTGGGTTCATGAATCTCTGCTTACTTACAATCAAATGAAAACAAGAGTTGTTGCATCTGATTCTTTCACAATATCAAATATTTTAACTTCGTGTAGTATAATTGGTTATTATGATTTTGGTAGATCGATTCATGCTGAACTGATAAAAAGACCAGTGCAAGCTTTTGTTTCAGTGCAAAGCGCACTGATGACCATGTACTCGAAATGTGGGAAACTAGAGGATGCTCTCGAGGTTTTCAGGAGAATGGAGGAGAAGGATGTGGTTGCGTGGGGTGCCATGGTGTCGGGTTTTTACAAAAATAAACGATATGAAGATGCAGTTGGTTTATGTAAAGAAATGGTGAGTTTCTATATGAAGCCAGACCGAAATATATTGGTGATGGCGATAAATGCCAGTGTGGGGGTTGAAAGTCTAGAGTTAGGCTGCTCTTTCTTTGGGCTCGCTATTAAGCTTGGGCAGGAATCAGATGCTTTTGTGGGGAGTTCTTTGATGGATCTTTATTCAAAATTTGGGCAGCCAGAAATGGCTAAAAGAATATTTTCTGGAGTTTCCAACAAGAACGTGGTGGTTTGGAATTCTTTAATCTCGTGTTATGCCCAAAATGGCCTCCCGGAGCTGTCTATCTCTGTTCTTCCCCAAATTGTACAGCACGGCTTAATCCCGGATGCTGTTTCAGTCACTACTGCACTTGCTGCAGTTTCATCAGTAGCAGCACTACTTAAAGGGAAGGCCATTCATGGTTACCTTATAAGATATCAGATCCAAGAAGATAATCAAGTGGGAAACGCCTTGACTGATATGTACATCAAAAGCGGATGCTTGAAATATGCAGAATGTATTTTCAATAACATGCCTGGTAGAAGCTTGGTCACGTGGAATTCTATGATTGCCGGTTATGGATCCCATGGCGAGTGCTTCAAAGCCATCAACTTGTTCGGTGAAATGAGAAGATCCGAAATTACACCAGATCATGTAACCTTCCTTTCCTTAATCTCTGCCTGCAACCATTCCGGTTTAGTAGATGAAGGCTTGAAGCTGTTCCAGTTAATGAGAGAGTATACGATCGAGCCTCAAATAGATCATTATGTCAATATCGTGGACCTGCTTGGTCGTACTGGGCAGTTGGATGATGCCTACAATCTCATACTGAACATGTCGATGGACCCTGAACCGAGCATCTGGCTATGTTTATTGTCTGCTTGTCGAGTCCATCGTAATGTAGAGCTCGGGGAGCTGGCTGCCCAGAACCTCCTGAAGATGGAAGAAACCCGAGGTAGCAATTATGTTCAAGTGCTGAATCTGTATGGGGAGGCTGGGATGAAAGAAAAGGCGGCAAATTTGAGGGCTCAGATGAAGCAGAAAGGGTTGAAGAAGATTGGTGGATGCAGTTGGATTGAGGTGAAAGATAGCACTGATGTTTTCTTCTCAGGTGATTCATCCTCCCCCAGGACAATTCAGGTATATCACACTCTTCATAGTCTCAGAAGTATTATGAAATGGAAAGGTGATTATAGTGAAAGTTGCCTACAATGACTTCATTCTTCTCATTTATCAACTCAATATTGTGTATCCTGATATTATAAATTATGAAAAATTCTATGGTGTTAATTGACACTTGTGGCTTCTATACTGCATACAACCATTTTTGCTTTTTGGATTATACAAGTATTACAAGCACGAGTTGACAATACACGGTACAACACGAAAAGTATACACTATTGTGAGTTTGTGACCAAATTTTCAATAAGGTAAGAGGCTTTGCCTTCATAATGGGGCAACCCCAGAGCTAAGTTGATCGTATTATTGGCTTGATAACCACAACTCCACGACATATCAAATTATACTTCCTGTAGGAACGGCCTACTGGCCTTCTTGGTTTGAACTGATCAGCTATCGACAATTTAGACTGATTTGCCTTTTTGTGGTATTTTGCTAACTATGATTACAAGGCGAGATTTACCTAATGCACACACTTGGGTTGTGACTGCATGTTTCTCTCGTGAACCAAAAAAGAAAAAGAACACAACGATCTTTCTTTCTTCAAATGAATATCAGATGAACAATCAAGAATTTTGTGTATGGAATACCAGATATGAGGTCTAAACACAATCTAATTCATTATCAAGCTTTTCACACACAATAGTTTATCAATGAATTACCCTTGAATATGCATGCCATAGTTGTTTCAGTTATACCTCTATATGAGAGCTCAGCTCTTGACCTTCTTCACAAAATGAAACTATAACCCTCATCTTTCACCAACACTTCTAGCAGAAAGAAAGTCCCTTTCGGTAGTTTAACGGTTTTCTGTCAAAATCTCCTTCAGCTCCTCTGTCTCTGCCCAGGCGTTTATTGCAGTCTGTTCTCAAGCGTTTTACAGAAAAATGTGAAAGGAGTGGTTAGCGCGTCTAGGAAAACTTGTGTATGAAGGAATGGACAACAAAATGGCGAAGATGAAAATGTCATTCTCTCTTGTCCTCCTCCACAACTTCTGCTAGTCCAAACACGTGCTCTGTTGACATTGATGCCTTCCTTTCCTTTCTTTCCAGTTTGCTCGTGAAGTCTCCTGCCACTTTTTTTACCCCACTGGCTGTCAGGGACAACGCCTCTTCCTCATCATCGCCAACTTCCTCAGAGTATGAGTATCTGCACAAATTTGCATTCAAAATCATAACCCCCCCGCTTTCCCTTCATCGTCTGATTGGATTCTCAGAACCCAAAGTCGAGATATTTTCTCAGAACTTCGCATTGCAGCAACTAGGAGGGATAAGGTTTTACTTAACCGTATAGGAGGTTGATACATCATTGATCAATTAGTGGGATTAATCGGATAAAAAGGGTTAATGAGTGGATTGCTAATAATAATAGAATAAGTATAGGATCCTGTACCTGGTAGGGTTATATGAAGGATCCCAGAGAACACATATCATCACCAACAGCAAATAGGCTAATAAAATCCAGAAAGCCGGAATAATCCAGGCTCTTCGCCACAATTCACTCAAAGGGTCACTTGCATTGAAGTATAACTAAACCATAAACCAAAAACCAAAAACCAGAAAACCATTGTTATTGTGGGTCATCAAAATCGAAATGCAGAGACATTAGGAAAAGGAGAAAGTGATTTTCCATTAGTCTGAGTAAAGAAACGGAAGAGAAAGGAGGGAAGAAAACCTCATAACCTATCCAGGCAACAGAAAGCAGAACTGAAATGGCAAGAGCATTGGTGAACCTTCTGTACAACTCAAGTTTGGCGTGGCTTCTCCGAACCTGAATTCCACATAGGTCAAGAATTTCAGTTGCATAGAAAGTGTGTACCTTTGTTCTAGTCCCATCCCAATTGAAGAGAACAGAAATATGCATTCAAATTAAGCACCCATAGATGGAAATAGTTATGAGCTTCCATGACAAGGGACCATATCATCACCTGAAGTTTCTCTAAAGTCTTCGATAATGATGAAAAAATCCAGACGATGAAGCAGGAATCCAGTAAAGCAACGGGTAGTACCAAGAAGAGCCTTGCCTTTCCAGAAAAGTCATTGATGTTCCCCAAATGCTCGACAAGCTCAAGAGCTTCAGAAGCCAGAAAGTATACCGCACCAAGAAGTAGTACTTTTGAGGTTATCCCTCCAAGGGTGGGTCTCACAACACCGTAACCCATTGCAACCACTAGAAGAAGTAGCCTTGAGACGGTTTTCTTGATGGCACTGAAGGTAACTGCCCAAATGGTAATTCCCATTGGCCTGCTTCCTGTGGAATTAAAATTGACATATTCAAAATACCAAAGAGCCATTTCACACATTCCAAGCCCAATAACAGCAGTTATGTGGTAGTGCAACTGTATTATATCCCTCCAGTATCTCGAGAACCGCAAAAACCATACGAGACCAAGAATGAGGTACGCCAGAGACATCAGGCCGTAAAATGTCATGAGTGGTGCCATCTTCCCCGGTAGATAACCTTCTGGATTTCTCCAAACAGTCTTTCCACTAATCAATGTGCCCTTGAGTTCTGGGTTGCAAAACATGAAATATAGATAATACATTCCCGTCTTATTGATTTCAATGTTTTGAAGCATCATATATGCCTCTTCATTTTTTCCCTCAAAAGAAGTCTGAATTCGTTTAGGCCACCCAGGGTTGTTAGGATCTTGGCGTATGATAACCTCTCCTACCTTACACGATCCATCCTTGGCAAGATCTGGGGTGCAGCATATTGCATCAGAGTTGAGATAATAGCCACCAATTCTATCCCTATCTTTGACGTCCAGTATAATGGCCTCAACCATTCCCGTACTCTGCTGCATCTCATTTTGCCTATTTGCAGCCTCTTTTGTCCTTCTAAAGGTGATGGACTCAAATCTGAAACAATGTGGGAAGGGAGAAGTAAACTGTTCATCCTATTTGGTTCACAATTTTTCGTTTATCAAAAATAACCGAATCATGATGGTTCTAGTTTAGAATAATTTTCAGTACTCAAGTGATTCAAAACATGCAAAACTTGGAAGTGTGGAAGTGACAACAGACAATATGATGGAAAATTCTTTAGTACTTAAACTACCATTAGAACAAAACTCTGAATTGAGAACACTGAAGGTTATTATATCCATGACTTAAATCTCATTTCGTTTCCCTGTTTTCTACACACCTCTGGCTTCATGACTGTACACACTGGCTAAACAACAGGATTCTACACACCTCTCCCTTGAATTTGAAGCAAATAAGACAGAGAAAATTGCATTTTTGATCCTTCAGTTATACCCATGGTACAAGCTTAGTCCCTGAGTTATATGCGTGACCATCTTTAACCCCTAAGTTATGCACAAAACAGTCCCTCGGGGACTATTTCTACCACCAATTTGTCACTTAATAAAGTGGCTAAATCGACACTCCATGCATAATTTATGAGTTAAAGATGATTACACATATAACTCAGAGATTAAGTCTGTACCACATGTATAACTAGATGACAAAAATGCATTTTTTTATTTCAATCCAATCAACAAGCAATACTCCTAGAACCAACTTTCCATACAATGCAGCTATGCAAATTCAAAAGAAAAAATGATAAATATCTCAAACCAAAAGAATGCAAACAGGCAGACAAAACAAGCAGTAAATATACTCAAAATGGCACAATGTTGACCAACAAAAATCAAAATAATAGTACCAACAATGACAATAGAATAGAAATGGGAAATAGGGCAAGTGAAGAAATGAACAAAAAAAAAAACAAAAAGATTGAATCTTTGATACCTGATGAATGACTTGCCATTGAGTGGTTTATTGGCGTCTTCAGGAGAGGGTTTGGGAGGGTCCTGTTCCTGCACCTTGGAAGCGTAAAGCCCTTCACTGCCGCCATGGAAGAAGAAGGAATTGAAGCGAGGAATGAAAGCCTCGTTCCCATATTCGTGGATCGACCCTTCCACCCCTATAACCCCACTCCCCACAATCACAAATTGAAATACCCACATTATGCCCATCATCAGATCACATTCATTATTTCCCCTGTATCTCATTTCACTCTCTCTTGCCCTTTCTTTTCAATTTCTTTCTCTCTCTATATATATTATATAAAATGTATATGCGTGTGTATAATATATGGGTTAAAAAATGTTGGGAAATCCCAGAGCAGAATGGAAGAAAGTGACTGGAGTTCTTGTAGTCCGTACAAGTTTGGTTCGATTTGGTTTGCTGCGTCAAGGAGTCAGACAAATGACCTATTAAAGTATGTAATTAATCCTCATAGGTTCAGGTTCATAGTCCCTTCATCAACTTTTCTTGGTTAAAGTACTACATGCCTTTTGTTTAATTTAATTCTTATATTTTTATTTTGTTCAGTTTAGTCTTTCTATGTAATATAATCACTGTTGCAAAAATCAGTCTAGCCTCTAAGCACTCCGGGACCGTGGCGATTTTCCCTCTAGGCGTCCGCCTAGGTGATCGGCTGCCTACGCGTCCGCCTAGCGCCTAACTCGACCGACTTAGCCGCCTAGCGTCTAGCTTGGTCGAGTTAACTTGTCCATTTCGATCGAGTTAACCCGGTCAGCTCGACCTTGCTAATTTTTTTCATTATATAGATATATATATATATATACTAGTTTTTTTACGCGATTTGCGCGAATGGGATAATGCCCAATGATTATTTTTAAATAAGTATTTCAAAGTATATCAACGCAATATTATATCGGAGATGTTCATGCATATGTAAATAAATATTAAATTTATTTATTTAAATCGGTAATTCAAAATATATAAATGCAAGATAATATTTATTGAATTTTCTAATTCCCCTACATATTTCATGCATTGTGAGATGTGTGTCGTAGGTTATCATGTGAAAGTATTGAACAAAATATTAATATTTATTATATTTGTATAAAATACTTGGTAAATAAATATATATAATGTATTTTGTATTATAACTTTGATATTTAATTACAAGATAATGTAAAAAGAAGACAATGGACAATGCACTGAATATAATAAATTAATAAATTTGAAGGTAATGAATCTTTTAATTGTAGAAAATAAAGATAATATAACTAATGAAATTATATCTATTTTAAAATTTTTTTATAATGAATTATTTTTTTTAAAAAAAATAAAGGCATTATAGA